TAGTGCAAGCCAGCTTTTGTGAGTCTATTATAATGTGTCAGCCTTAGACTTGCCCATTAATTGGCTGACACATATTAATTAATATGAGCTGAAAGCCAGAACAAGAATAGATTACAACCAGTGATTATCCTTTTAGTTACTTTCCTCTGATATAGTGCCTTTGATAGTAGTAATTTCTACTAACGGCTTGCAGCCGTTAACTGATAGGCAGCCTGGATTCTTATAACTACTTCTTTATGCACCCACCCCTAACTAGTGAATAGGTATAAACCTTTGGATTTTATTTAAATCCTTCTTACCTATAATACTTCTTCTCTATTTTTGGGCCTGTGCATATGACTAGCGTTCTATGCAATGCATAAACTACTCCTTGTAATAATTATCCTGATCCTAATTAGTAATCTCAAACTTGGCAGTCTGATCATTAACTGCTCCCACCCAACGCAAAATACTTATGCCCTAATTAACATCTAACTGTAAGATGCACTGACTGAAATAGTCCTTAAGGTGACCCAGAGAAACTATAAGACCCTTGTATGCATATATAGTTGGACCACTCTGCAGCCACATCTGAGCATGCTGGGCTGGGATTTTACCTGTGAGCATCCTGATATGGCAGTGCAGATTAAGGCATTGGAGGGATTTATATATGAGCTGTAGAATCCACTGCAATGGTTTAATATATTAATTAAGCAACCTAGTTTGTGTGAGTGGCTGCAAATGATGAACTAATGTGCTGCAGATATTTTTCTGGTTATAGGGTATTGCTCTTTCTGAGATGTAAGGGTGATGTTAAATAGGAAGCACTAAAAGACTAATGGTATTAATGTCATAGTTAATAATGGCATACTTACTTCTGCTGCTGTTGGTGCTCCGCTGCCTGTCCCTACTAGCTAGGAGATTAGGATCCAGGCGGAGCAGAAGATACTTCACTAATAGAATAAGTAATATATGGCATCCAGTGAACAAGTATTTACAATCTAATATAAGAAACTAAAATTCAAAACCTTCCCTTAGGATGGTGTCCGGTAAGCATCTGTGGGCTTATTAATGCTCTGGGAGGATGTCCTCATGCATTATGGGGAAGCAGCACCAGCCGACTTGATTGCTGTATAACTGGATGATGCGGTGCAGGTGGGCAGACCAACGACCAGAGTGTCCGATGAGGGGGAAGAGGATATATATTTTGTCGTCGATGGAGACCACTAAAAAAGCGTTGTTGATGATATTTGTCTGACGGGTCCATCTCGCAGCGAATAACTTAAAGAACTCGCCACTGCCGCAGAGGGTAGGCACAGGCAGTCACGGCATAACTGCTGTTATAAGTTATCAAGATATCGTACACTGCTCATCGCTCCCGCCCTTTGTATAATTTGTGGCTGCCTATATTTGAGGAGAGGCTATGAGTGAGCGACTTTTGCGCGAAAGACCCAGGGACCCACATGGCACTGGTTTTCATATTGAAAAGCAGGCGGGAGATAACAGGATCATTGATCTCATGATTTGAGTCAAGATACCTTAACGCATTGCGAAGCTGATCCTCTGTAAGAGAAGCGATATCGACTGTCGCAGACGGCCAGTGACGACGTTCCAGGAGCAATTTATTGGCCAGCGAAGATTTTCGAATTTGTAACACGTCATATATAAGATACATAAAGGTTTTGTGGCGAGTGAATCTTCGTGGATCAGAACTGATGTATGAATTTGTTGAGCGGAACATACCTCCTGCTATGGTGGTGCTTCAGCGCCCATTCAGCAGTGAGTTGCCTCGGTGCTTCTGTGTGCAATCTCGGGCCTCTAGGCAGTGGAAAGGGGGAGAGGCAGCAGGTAGCCCCTGGTCAACGCAATATGAGCAACTGCCTTTTCTTATTCGAATTACAAAGTGACTCTGCAGGATTCTTTGCGGTGTTTGCGGACCCATGTGACATACGGTGTCGGCGGACAAAAGGATACTTGTAGCCTATTCATATTATGTGAGAGCTTTTGAAAATGACTCGGTAGCGCCACATTCACCCTAGGTGCTGGGAACCACAGCAGCACGACTACATGAGGACATGAGGAGAATTATTAAAGGTGTGAAGTAACAAATAACAACACAACACAACGGTATATAAGGACAGAGTCGCTCTAGTCATTTCATCATCAAGACAAATGACCAAGCCAAGGCTTTTCCAAACGGAATTAGCATTTACCCTTAATAACATCCACCCAGCTTCGAGCGACATTTCTCTGGATGATGTCCTGTCTGATGACAAATCTTAGTGCATTCAGAGCTTCAAAGATGGCGCGATCGGTCTCCAGGGGTACGTATCTGGATAGAATTGATTTTATCACCTCCACTTTTACGCGTAGTATTAGAAGTCGGTGGCTTTCTCCCCTCATTCTAGCTGAAACATTCATGGATAGGTCAACGAGCAAGGCAAAGGGTGGTTAGTGGCGCCACTAAAAGAAGCGATAAGAGGCTGTGCCCGAAGAAGAGACCGAAACCTATGCTAAAGACTTTTCGTCATTCACTGGGCGGTTCAGACCCGTTCCATTTGATCGTTCCCGTGTTATCCACGAGGTCCGGGGAGACCCATGCTCACAGTTAAATCCTGTGGACTGAGGCCAGCATATTATTTCACATTCGTTCCTGACGCTAGTCCAATGCTGACTCAAACCCCTCCGGCCGATGCTTCGGGAAACAATATACGTCGGGCAAAAACGCACTGTTGGTGCGACTGAAGGAAAGAGAGGAAATGCCGTGGGCGGAGATTGCTGCGCACTTCCCTGAACGAAGCGCATCCTCCCTCAAACTCCACTGCTCAAGCAAGTTACGTCACAAGGCAACCACTCGGGCTGAAAGGCAACGATTACGCCGGTGAGAGGAACTAAGTCGAGCGTGCCCTGGCCAAAGCCAGTTCCCCCACAGGACGTCACAAGCATGGGAGGACTTGGTCCCATGGAGTTTCCCGATAGTAGAGGGGTCTCAAGCGGCAGATAATTACTTTCGCCGAAATGCCGCTCCGCTGGACGTTTGGGCGAAATCGACGAACGATCTTCATGTGCCACTCCACCAGGGAGGCTATTGGTAGGCCCTGGGCTGTCGTGTAGATACTCTAAGCTAACATTCGAATTTGTAACTCAGTACCTTCCGCTTCAGACCTGACACTGCTCTGGGAGCCTTGATTAAGTGCCAAGCCTCTAGAGATCCCTAAGCACCCAGTGCCATTGCTGGGGATGCTACCAGTCGCAGTTAGACTGAACTTCAGGGACATTCGACCGGTTGATTCGCAGGCTTCCTCATGGATCAGTATAGTTCCATTTCTAGAATAAGGCACCGTTCTCATGCTTAGATGCATACAGTATCGAGTAGCAAAGTATCCTATGACGTACACTTGCCCTTCATAGGTATACAGTGATTGATCAAGCCGGTCCGACTCCATCTCGGGAGCAGTACAGCGTTAATCTACCTACCAAACGTGCCTGGTGGTGATGGTGCTATAGGACGAATAATGCCGTGAAGCAGATTCCTGTTCGTCCCTCCCGCGTTCTTTTTGGCGGGCCTCATAGTACAAGGACAGTGGCAGCTTCATGAACCAGACCAACACTACAAAAACAGCTCCCGCAGCTGCTGCAGATTTGTACTCGCAAACATAGAAATCTATAAATAATGTTCCTAATGAGCAAAGCACTCGTCGCTGGTATGGAGAAAAAAAAAATCAAGGGGATACGGTGAAATTCCTTTAGTGGTGGGTTGCTTACTGTGGTTGAACGCAACGCGTGCGAATGTGTAACCGCTCAATGCATCCCAGCCTAGTGCTAGTATTGAGGTTACTGGGCCTGGTCGAGTTAGTCGTTTCAACATCTGGGAGGCACGGAGTGTTTGGAGAAATGAGGAGCGTACATACCAGAAGCAGACTGTACCACTGTGCCTGCTGTCAGAGGAGCTCCGGCTGCAGCGGCGGCTGTAAGCAATTCGTTGGGCACTGGGCACGATTTGCACAGATCAGCAGGAACATATTATTGAATGTGCACAAGTTGCGAATTGATAATCAAATAACCTTACCATCTCCTAATGACTTCAAGGCTATGGTCGAGGTAGCAAGAACTGCTGACCCAAAGGGAGAGCCGGCAAAGCTAAGCAGCACATACACAAATATATTGTCCGAAATCAAAGCCAATAAAGTGGCAGCATTGAGAATGGCAGACTTGATCAAGCCTCCAAGTGCGCCAAAGCGTATTATTTGGGCCGTTATTTCGTTCCCATTGACGTGGGCACCTGTGGCTGCTGCGGCCGATCCAGCAGCTGCGCATATCACCAGGTCAAGTACTGAGAGTGCAAGGTGGATTGCCACTAATAAGCAATAAACATTTGGTAACTGTTAAAGACACAACCTTGCGGTGACGCACCATTGGTAACTAGGGGGTACTCTGCCATCTAGTTAGCTCAAACAGATCAAGGGGAAATCCACGGGTCGGACCTGGATCCATGTTGACTGACAGGCGAACCGTAATGAGAGACAACGTTTTACGCTGCACACGGGGGAGCTAAAACCTACTTTTGGATCTCGTACTTATACTAACACTCGCAATATACACAGCCTCAACACAGCCCCACTGTGAAGCATAGATTTTGTTTACTTACGGGTGTGCCAAGAAAGCAGCCTGACAATAATGCTACGTCTGTACGGAATCCCTCTCGTATTCATATACATCTGCAAGGGATTCGCTGTATGAACTCAACTAAGGTCTCTCTGCCTTCTCTCACTCACTCTTTTCACATTCAATATTGACTCGTACTTTCCGATGAATAGGACCTCATATTCTGTGATGCACACCTCATTTCCGACCTCTTGGGGTGTGCGATACTTCAAGCGCGTAGAGGAGCAGACAAGTCCCATTTCATCCAATTACAGCGAGTCACGGGAGCCGGGATAAACTATTCTCGGTCTTCAAAGTCAGTCACAGGTCTGTAGTGCGCTTGTTTGGTTCCCCGTCTCTAGGGAGAATTGCACAGCTCACACGCGTTCATGGCATCCAGCATCGTCATATTTCGTGCTGCAAATCGCATTATCCGCTCCTTCATGATAAGCTGAATCACCCAGGGCCGCGCGCAAAAACATTAAAGAATGGAAGGCAAGCGCTATGCAGTTACCGCCGGAAACTCGCCCTGCGTTGCCGCCACAAGGGCTTACCTTCACCGGGCTGAAGCCGATGACGGAAAAGTGCGGAGAGCTTCTCGTCCTCATATGCCACCTTCAGCCGAGCTATCCCATTTTTGCCCTGACGTCCGCGACAGAATTCGGGGAGCAGTGCGAGGTGCGTAATGGGACGGTCTTTACTGATGTTCGTGGTGCGGGCGCTGTGATAAGCACGACGGCAAGTTCGTGGAGGATCTTCATCGAGCAGACTGGGTGGAACAGTGATGTTCTTCGGGCTGGCTGGGAAGCGAAACCATGGACTCGCTGGAAGAAGTGAAAGCCGCGCAAAAGGGAGACAGCGCAGTCGATTCGACTGCGGGTGGACTTGACAAAAAGATTACCGTGTCTACTAAGTGTGAGGTCGATTAGATGTGGTCAAAATCGAGGGGCTTCTGTAGTGTGGAGATTTACATCCCAGAGAACGTACAGACACAAACTCTTGGACCACCATTAGTGATAACCGCTCTCTCTTCACAAAATTATGGAATAAATATGTCTTCCCAATGAGCTTTTTGCTGATTTCCATTAAATCTGCCATTGTCACCTTTCGGGCATGCTAAACCGTTCCCCTTACTACCGAGGTCTCGAATTCTCCCTTTCCAACTCCCCTTCCCTGAAAGTTATCACTTGAATTTAGCTCACTTTGCCCAGCAACAGTGACGCAAACTCTATTAGCGGCCCTATGAGCATCGTCATGGCGAGAACCTGCCCAAAAGTCCAGTCCGCGATGCTCGGGAGCAGTTCGTTCCTCCGGATCATCAATTCCAGCATTACTATCATATAGATGCTCGCACCCAGCCTGCCAAGCATGCGTATAAAATGGTTGCAATCATCCACACGTACATCATACAACTCGTCGTCCGTTCCCAGTCCCGAATCGCAATTATTGCTGCGCCCACAGCCACAGTCCAGCGCCATGCAGCACGCAGCACCGGACAAACACACGAGCCACATGACAAACCCCAGCTCCAGCATGGCGAACATCGCAACGAAGATCCAGCGAATCACGATATTAATCGCCTGGATGTCCACGCCGAAAAGGACGTACTTGGTGTCCTGGTTGCACTCGGGCTTATTTCCAAAGTGGGGCGCGTTTGCGAAGACGTAGATGAAATATATGAGCGAGCCGCTGACAGCAACCACATACAAGACAAGAAAGGTCGTGGTGCGCGCGACGGTTGCGGGGTAGTGGCCCTTTGGACGAAAGGCGATGCCCACGAGACCAAGCAGATGGAGGACGCAGAGGGCGTGGAAGAGCGCTATGCAACCGAGAGCAGATTGGATAACGGTTGTGAGGAAGAGCGCAAGCCCAGTTACGCCGAGGGAGGATTCGATGGAGCCTGAGAGCTCGGCGGACTGAAGGAAGAAAGAGATCAGTGGGCTTGCAAGACTGAGGATATAGATGGAAATTCGGATCTATGTTGGACTTGTTAGCCTATCAAGTAGTTACGAGGGCTCCTCTGCTTGCGGGGTGTTCGACAAATAAAGAGATCTTACGCCGATTCCAATGATGTCTGGATTAGGGTCGATCTGACATCCACTCATTTTTCAGAAGGGGAAAGCGTCAGAAATCAAATCACATGAATTGGATCTCCAGGGCAGTTTATAAGAAAAAACGCACTCCTGAGCCTAAGAAGTCGTCAAGTGTAGGTCTGTGCATCAAACACTCAAAGAGCAGGCCCTGTTTGATTTATAAGTCGCGGTCGTGGCGAAGCAACCGGACTTGTCCACACAGCCTCAGGGTTAACCAAGGCAAACTGAGCTCGAACAAATACCTTCAAGGATGGATATACACAACGAGATAACGAGATAACGAGATAACGAGATGAAAAAGTGAGGCAAACCGTAAACAGTCTCTGATGATCTGGGGACGACGCGGCGTGTTGACAAGGCCTTTGTCTAGGCGGGATCCTAGAGCGCTGGCCATAACATGACAACAAGCAAATACGAGGATCAGTGCTCGGTCGACAGGCTATGTTGGTGGTCAAAAAATTGAAAGTCCGTGCAACGCGTCAAAGCATCAACGATCCTTTTCAACTAGACTGGTCGTGGGTTGGATAAAACATTAAAGCATTGGGTGGGGCAAGGGAAGATTATAAGACTAACTCCGTAGAAATATTAGCTTGATGTAAAGATATTATCTGAGCGCTAATTATTGAAACGATAATCTTCAAAAGACTTAAAACACAAACACAATTCATCAACGCCCGGCGGCTAGGCCGAAAGGGCAACTATCACTGGTCTAACAATACAGGTCCTAATATACATATGTCGTGCCTCCTTTGAGCTTATACATAGATCCCTTCAGTATATGTCTTCTCAGCTGTCGATATCATAAGGATGCTTGTGGGTTAGTAAGTTTGTTAGTAGACTGGCTTGAATGCGCTTCTTCAAGTGTTCAACATCCTATCCTCGGCAGTCGAAGCGCGTCTACCATCTTTGGCACAAGGTGGTTGGTGTAGGTTAGTTAGGAAAAGGGTGTCATTGTGTTGGTCGACGTGGTTAGGTGCCTCGAGTCGGCCCGTAGCAATTGCGAATCGTATTGAGGCTCGCACAGCTTCCAAGTTCTGCGTCCAATTCTGGCCATCCGAAGGCGATGTTCCACCCAGGGAAAGGGATATGTTGCCTCGGTGAGCATGGGCCCAAGAGACATAAATATACAGCCAAGTCTGCCCGTGGCTAAGCCTTAACGAGTCCTTGTAGCCGATGTAAGCAGCTTCACCAGGCCTGTTTGTTCAGGCCATTGCCCTGGTTTTCAGCACGCCCACCTCTCGGTGGACGGCCTCTGGATATTGAGGCCCGGCAAAAACATCTCACCCCTAGTGTCTACAGGTTTGCTCCTTAAGCATGCATCACTGGCATCTTAGCTAGAACGACATCACATCCGTCGCCCAGCCGCAGGTTCCCACTGCGAGCGAGATAGGGAAGATGACAATAGCCGTTTTCACTAGGATAGTACCACTTTGGCTGTTCGACTTCAGGTCCCCAGTGCGAGTGAGGTAGCCGATTTCCGTCTCTATGCACACGGACACGCGCGTCCGTCCTCTCGGGCCACATAGACAGTCTTGTCAAGTCCCTAACGGCTGGTCCGTCACTGTCGTTATGTGCCATGCCCCACGGTGAAACGAGAAACGTCTCCCCGCTTCGCGCTACCAGCCGAGATCTCTCTCTGCTGGCCGACCGTGTCTTGCGGAGGCAGCCAAAGGAGTATCCCCAGTGACCCTGCGGGACATCCCGACCGTTCTCCACTAACCAAACTTGTGTCCCCAGTTTCGCAGACCCCTCAAACACCCGTGGCTGTGCCTTAACGAGTTCGTTGAGGCTCGTCCCTAGATCGCACGCCCCTAGTGGAAAGAACGGTCAGAGTATCTGATCAAGGCTGCTCGTGGCAGAGCCTTAACGGGGACTTGTAACCAGAAGCGCCGCTGTCCTTCCCTCCAGACTCGTATTATCCACTGCTCAACCGGTTGTATCCTCCCTCGCCGCTCAACGCCAGTTCAAATTATGTTCAAGTCTCTGCTGGACGTCTCGCAATCTCAGAGAGTTTTCAAGCTCGGAGGTGTCCTGTCTCCTGTCCAGGCGATACCACATTCACTAGAAAAACAAGTCTAGCTTCGGTCTCGAGTGCGAGTCGAGTACACCGTCTAGTCGTCGGATGGTTTTCATAACCCTTTTCCTCTGATTTTGTGTGGGTTGGGTGGCTCGGTAACTACGGAAAACTCTGCGGTTCGGCCCTACAGTGGCGTGAAAAAAGTTTGGATCCAGCGTATTTACCGCTAGGCCTGATTAGGCAACTCCATAATATCTGCAGATTTGAATCTGATACTTTGTATACCAGCCATTTGCCACAATGACTGCCTTAACACGGCGAGGCATGGTATTTAGATAGCTTCCCTAGTATTTGACAATCAATATTATTCCATGCCTCCTTTTCTGCATGGAAAAGCTGCTCAAGTATGTCTGCTGTATCTGGCGCGTGCTCAATTTCAGGATAGAGCTTATAGATTTCCCGCTTCATGATAGCCCAGAGGTGCTCAATTGGATTCAAATCAGGGGAGTAAGGTGGACAGTCCACAACCTCTATCCCTAGATCTTGAAGAAGCTGTTGAACAATCCCTGCAGTGTGCACAGATGCACCATCATGCATGAAGATATCGCCCTCAAACACAAACTCTGGAAGCCTTGCTCGGTATAAAGCCTCAATATGTGTTGAACCCTCCACGGCCGACATTTGGATCACATGAAGCGGAACAAGGCTGTCTGAATTGATTGTCCAAATCCAGCCTAAAATATCCGCTTAACACCCTTCCCTGTACGTCTAGTAAAGACATCACCAGTAGAGAGTTGCTCAGATGGACGCCGGAAGGTCCAGATTGCCTGTACACCTGCACCTTGTTCAACTGAGCATTCATCTGACCATTTAACACGCGCCCAATCTTCTAATGTATAGTGTTCATAACGACGTGCCCATGCAAGGTGTTGAGTAGCATGGCGAGGCAGGAGCTCTGGACGGCGGAGTTGCCTCTATTTGTGGAGGCCCATTTCATGAAGAAGTCTCTGAATTGAACGTATTTTCACACAGAAGTCAACATCTGCTAACATATCTTAGACTGACTAAGATCATAGATATGATCACGTTGAGCCTCAGTAAGCTTTCGGGTTCTGCCTGAACGTGGGCGCGTCATAATATCATGATAGATTCTCGACGAATAGTGGTCTTAATTGAACCAAGAGGGATGTCAGAATGCTTTTTATAAATTCTAGAAGGGGCCCATCCAATACTATGGAGCTCACAGATACGTGATCGCATCTGCGGAGATAGTTCTTTGCGAGGTGCCATAATATTGAGGGAGGTATCTCAAGGTTTGAATCTGCGGATAGAATATTATGGAGTTGCCTAATCAGGCCTAGCGGTAAATACGCTGAATTCAAACTTTTTGTCGTGCCACTGTACACGCACCACCAGGAGGATTCTTTGGCTTCCCCTTCACACAAGCAGAGGTTACTGACACTGGACACCGCGAGAAGGTAGAAATCCATCGTCCTAACTGCTTGACGGTAGCAGTTACCCAGCGTGATCGCCCGGGGCGGTTGAGAATACAGTCCTCGGAATCGCCTTGACCAGCATATTCTGAGAACTTTTTCCTGGTCCCACTGCCAAGGCCTTAGCGCCGATCAATTATTAAGTGGGCTGTGTTAAATTGAAGGGCCGTAGTGAATTCCGCTTCGTACGTTACAGTACCTGGCATCGTAAAATTACACCGTGCGTAGGAAAAGTCCTTGGAATTCCATGAAAACCTACTGTCAGAGCAAGCTAAAACAGTATGGAATGCATGCGCTAATGGGTCTACTTTACCAAGGGGGACCAGTTGCATGAAGGCAAAGTCGATTGATTCCAGAAAGACTAAAATAATGTAGTAAGCAGCGGACATGTTAAGTACTCATCTGTATCTTCCGATGATCGGATGAAAGGAGCGGGGCTGTGCTTGGTACTTGGAGTCCATGATGCTACACAAAACCAAGATTATACGGAGTTTACAGAAACATAGGAAACGAGGGGTGTAGGAGAATCCATGCTGTGAGTAACTCTCCACTTTCGCCAACATCTACTGTACTGTCGAGCTGAGGTGGTATTTTGACATTAAGAACTGGCTGATTCAGCGACTACCTACGCGTCCATAGTTATGTTTTCTTATGGTAAACAGGGCCAACTCGGAATGCCCATGTTGTGACACACCAATGCTGGCCAGTCAGGCCATGAGACGCTCAGCGATCTCCTGGATAGTTCTTCAATCAACTCATGCAATTGGTTCCCTCAGTACTATCACTGCGATGCGACACCTACTAATGAATCGTAGGATTTCCGAACTGCCAGTACTGAGGGGATTGGTTGAAGAGATTGACATTGGGTAGGAGCACCAGCGCCTCAAAAACAAATAGGAGACACCCCAAAATCCTTACAAAATGTTTCCTGGAGCCTCTCTTTACACACGCTACTCAATATAAGGTTACTCTCAGTCACTGTCCCTATCGCTGCACAATGGTTAGCCATGGCATCGGCACCGAGCCACCGCCATTGTGCCTGGCCGCGAGTCAGGGGAGTGAGGATATCGTGCGGCTGTTGCTCGATCACGACTGGAACGTGAACGAAGTGGATGCAGAAGGCCGAACCCCATTGCATTTGGCGGCCGAGAATGGTGACCGGTCAGTCGTTCAAGTTCTTTTGAATCACACAGAGGTCGATTTGAACGCCCAGGATCAGTGGGAATCCACCGCCTTGCACGAAGCCGCCAAGCGAGGGCACTTGGCCGTAGTCAAGCTGCTTCTGGCCGAGCCGAGCATCGACATCAACGCCAGGGACAGAAATGACGCGACCCCGCTCTGGTGGGCCACTCGAGGCAATCACAACCATGTGGCCGCACGGCTGCTGGCCGAACCGAATGTGGATATCAATGCCGTCGGCCAGTTCGAAAGACCGCTCCCGGATCGATCCACGTCCCTTCATCATGCTGTCCGGGGGCGAGCAACCTTGATGCGCTTGCTTTTAATGGAGAAGAGCCTCGATCCCAATGTCGTCGACCATCAGGGCTGGACTCCGCTCGGCCGGGCAGCCCTCCAGGGCGATGACAGAACGGTGAAATGGCTGCTCGCCCGACAAGATATTCAAGTGAATGCGACTACGCAAAGCGAACAACCACCCCTGTGGTTAGCTGCAAGGCACGGCCATATCCGAGTGGTTCGACGCCTGCTACACTGCCAAAATATTGACATTAACCAAGGTTGGGGAGGGTACGTGCCGCCACTGTTGGCTGCCATCATTGCAGGCCACCCGGATGTGGCAATGACGCTGCTTGCGTGCGGTGAGCGACTGGACATTAACGCGCAAACCTACCAAAAAGGAATCTGCACTATCTCTGGCCGCCCGCTACGGGCACGTGCAGGTCGTCGATACCATCCTACAAGACCCTCGGGCAGACCGCAATAGCGTCGACGATGAAGGGCGCACCGCTCTGTGGTGGGCGGCTCATGAAGGGCAGACAGCCGTCGTGAGACGATTGCTCGAGGATGCCAACGTCCAAGTCGACATCAAGGATCGCCAGGGAGCGGACGCTCTAGAGGCCGCGCGGAGTCAGCATCATCTTGGTGTCGTAGGTCTCCTACAGGCTTACCGAGTGGGTCATCGCTGCGGCGACATTGGCCAACCTTGATCTGCCCGGTGGTGATTCTCGTATGAGTCAGCGCGATGGGCTTTGGTTGAAAACAGTGTGCTGGCCAGGGCTGCCGTCGATCAAGATGGAGCCCACCCTTGCTGAGATAGTTGTGCATTGGCGCCGTCAAGGGTCGGAAACAAAAGGAGAATGATGTCCAACTTACTATACTTAAGAAATGGCAGTGCGAGCAGTATGCCATTCACTTTCGCATAGAGAAACGACACGAGCTCACGCGGCATGAAAAGGTCGACATGGATACCGCCATGGATACGTATTTGGTGTCTCGACCAGTACAGCACTCTCCTTCTAGCTCACGCCACGAAGAAAATGTTGGCCAACGAGTCTTGGATTACTGTCTTCTGTTTGGTGAATCGGAATTTTCGTCTTCCGGTCTGCATATGGAAGTCACGACCTGCGGTGATGAGTGATGATATTGAACCCGAGCTGAAGCGTTCGACCGCAGACAAGTGGAGTGCTGGTGTCACTGTGAGAGAGAGATTGCGGCCCAGACCATGACGGCGGACTGACCGTCGTGGACGACGCACCCGGGGTGATCCCGTACTGTACGGTAGTGTAACTACTGTTCACGAATTTGGCGCAATCCCATGGGCTTCATGAACTTCATAGCATGTTCACAGCCTAAGTCATTAATTTGAACGAGGCTCCAACAAGAATGGATAACAGCCATCCAGATGAACGATAGTCACAACGCATAAATCGCGAAAAGCAGCGGCTTCAGAACTGACTAAAACCGAGGCGGACTCGATGGGTGAACATCCCCATTCAAAGGAAAATCATTCTCGGGATATGGAAGAATGGCATTATGTACTATACTGTAAAGGATAAGCAATCCAGCATTATAAGTTGGATTTATCAGCAATGCGGAGACGATGCGAAAAACGTGGGATATTCTGAATTGGTGAATAACAATTGAACAACTTATCACAAAAATTTTATGGACCTCAAAAAAACTAATAGCTGAACCAAAGGGAAAGAAAGAGGGCAGGAGGACGGAGATAAAAGGGAAAAGTGTCTGCTCTCGTCCAGGGCTAGGAGGAAAGTGGACCTGCGTTTCGAAATAAGCCATCTTTTACATGTAGATTGCACCCTTTCCAGGCACTTCTCGGACTTTCTGGGATTTGCGCAGCTCTGCATCGCAAAGCTATCTGAAACACTTATCAAACGCTGGTCTGTCTTAGAACTGAGGATTCGTTAGCTGCATGGATGCGTGACTGGCCGTCCAGCAAGCCAGAGTATCCAGCTTTGTGCGACGATTTCGAGAAAGTTCCAGGGGAAGGAATCATGCGAGAAGGGAAGTGAAGGTTCGTTACAGGACCATCTTGACCCACGATAGTTCGCTCACCCCATCTTCGGAAAGCGGCTGTACTGTCTGAAGACGAGAAGCAACTGAGCATTAGCAAAGCGGTTTGGCAAAGGAGCCGGAGCGATCACTCGGGTCGACGAAGCATATCCTAGAAATTGACAATGCGTTATCCCTAAGAACTTTGGCTAGATGGCCCTCTTGGTTGCAGACTTCGCGCATCCCTGTGCATTTGCCACAAACGGTTTAAACTGGGAGAACACTTCGCCAATTGAGATGATAACTCTGGCAGATTCAGGATTCAATCCATTTCACGCCCACCGTCTGAACTTCTTTATCAGTAAGAAAGCCATGAACCTTACCTTTATCTTATACCTGCTTCCAGGCCTACGATGGTAACCAAATATCTGTACCAGAAATGGCCTCAACACAGTGCGGTAATTCGCATCCTCATATGTGAGCATGTCTCCGTACAGTAAGAAGGAACACCCAACGCTAGCCATTCCGCAGGGATTAGCGTCATTAGTTTAGTGAGAGAAAAGTATCTCTTCCGGAGATTTCAAGAACTTCCATTCAAAATATTTGCCTCAACTTCCCGACCTCATTCGATGGACGTTTAAATGAGGAACACATGGTCGCCAGGCCCAATTCTATTATCGGGCCTATACCTTCTATGTTATGTTACCGGTTTCGTATAAGCTCCCCAGCATTATCTATATTCTCGTGATAACATTCAATTAGAGACATAGACGCAGCCAGGAGCTGACCGAACGTCATCACCGTTGCCAAGTCACTTGCTGGTCGGCCAACGTTACCACGAGCAACCATGTTACTACCATGCCGAGCCAAATTCAAACAATGGATAGTGGAACTTCAAGCTTCCGGCCCATTGTCAACAGGATCTCTCTTATTGACACGAAAGGTGGCTGATGTCTCCCTAGCCTTCTGGCATTAAAAGAGAGAGCTGTGTACGGCATATCCATCCGCCAGAAGTTGCGCCTGCTACTCTGACAGGATAAAGTCTTACTGAACTGCGGTCAAATCCCGGCTTTGGCCGACAGCATCGCGGAACATCATTGTGGAACCGCTCGAGGACAACCGTAATATTCCATTTAAGCTCCATAGGACACCGTCACAGGTTATACACTTGCCCCGGATTGTTAGATCTGCAGGAACCGATGGTATCTCTCATTCTAGCCCCAGAAGTGGGGCCGTCTTGTATCCTTTGAAGCCATGGTCGTTATCATGGTTAACTTGTTCTTAAAATGCCCACCTTGATCCTTCTCCCAGCAGTACTCACCCAGTTGACCACCCTCGAAAATTCTGTTATTTGCACATTTTAACCACCCTGTTCTTCGGTTGCCGGTTTTGGGTCCCTTCTGTGAAACCGTTCCTCTTCTCTTATTTTCTAAAATGTTTCCCCAACTCTAGCCTGTTCTTCTGGCCTTCGCTTTCGTCCCCTCTCGCGGCCGACCCAAACGTCTTCTCGCTGATAACTTCAACCATCGCCAGTCACTGCGAAAAGTCATTCCTTACTCCACCACCTGGAATTATTGCTTTTTTGCGGCTGGTACGCTACTATGCTCTTTCTCACAGTTGGTCTCAACGTAAGCGCGTTCTTCCAACTGATTTTCCCCAGCTCACCATTTCCTATCGAAGGTACATCCGACTGAGACACTTTGCTTGGACGGCAATGCCTTTGCCGACGTGGGTGGACTACTTGATCCCTCGAAAATCAATGCTCACACTTGTGCAGTTGGCCTATCGACTTGGTGGGAAGCTGAAGGAGCTAGAATCACTACATCTCGCATATATTGTTGAGGTTTTAACACGGGCTCAAAGAGAGGGATATATTCAGTGGCACATGCTGGATGTCGATTACAAGGTGATATCGTCGACTATCCCGATGAACATCATGAACACATATTACGTCTGGTTTGGCGTGAAGGTGAGGTCGCTATCCCAGGTTAGTCCAGCCACTCGTGTCGTATATCACAGGGATAATTAACGTAATCCACCACCGAGCGGCACACACCACCGAGCGGCACAGTCTGGCCATGGTCACGAATCTAGGAGACATTGTACTACTATACCACTAAAATGAAGCCATTCTCATGGATGAAAGAATTTTATTATTTACTAGGGCAGCTAGTTCGAATATGCCCAATTTGATGGCAATTACTGCATCGTGGTGGTGCACGCTTCTTAGGAACTGGTTCCATCACCTGTATAGCTTCTTGGGCAAGTTGCTGGCCTTCAGCACCTGTTAGAACACCCCCAGTAGCAATAAAAGATCTAGGGGCTGCGCGCTTTCGCTTCTGCTTCTCATTTGCTGCGCGTAGCCCCTTTATCTCCTGGTCTAGAAGGAGGACCTTATGCATAGTAGATTCGGCTGCCTTTGCAAGCTGACGGATAGCCTCAGTTGGAGGACTTTGGGAATTGCGCTTGATAAGCTGCTTGATAAGCTCCATCTGCCTTTGCACCTCAGTAGTAGTATAAGGGTCTTGCAATCCATTCAGCCCCTGCAGTTCCACGTCCATGCGCAGTAGTCGGAGGTGTGATATTCTTAATAGTAAGCTTGTCCAGCACCCTTTGTCAATTTAAAGGAACTAAACCAGAAGCATTAAATCCACTGCAGATATTCTCAGATGATAAGGCCTTTCTTGATGCTTTATAAAGATCAAGAAAGTTTTCGTTATCAATATGATGAATGCCATTCTGGATGCTTCTTGTCACCTCTTCACCATAAGCCTGTTTTAGGGGTGCAAAGGAGCCAACATCAAGAGGTTGTAGTTTGTCAGATGAATGAGAAGGCACATAAAGAGGGATGATATGATGGTTTTTGCAGAAAAGATCAAACTCTGCAGACTCATGGCCAGCATGGCCATCAAGAATTAAAAGCCAATATCTTCCTAGGGTAAGGTTGCAGTATACTTCTCAAAGATCTTTTCTAACCAGGACACCCCAAGTTCACTATTAGTCCATCCATTATTGCTTAGGCCAATCAGCCAGTCAGCATCAAGATCTTGATACCATTGGGATTGATGGACCTTGCCAGAGAAGATGATCATTGGGGGGAGAGGCCATCCAGAGGCAATAATGCATTCAATAACAGTGACCCATTCGCGATTCCCTGGTTGTATAGCTCATACGCGGCTTGTCCGATGGCGGGATGAAGTAATAACCTTTGCTGTATGGGCCACACCCATTTGAAAGCCAGTCTCATCGAAGTTGTAGATATCCTGTTCGAGAATACCATATTTTACTATAGTAATATTAGTTATAAGGATTACTAATTTAATTAACCATTATTATAAATAATAAAATTATTAATAGCTGTAAAATCTTTTATTAATATTTAACTTCTATAGATATAACCTCCACCACATAAAAATAAAAATATTAGATAGTGGCCTGGGAAGAGTAGTAGGGAAAAAAAGGTAGGGGAAATATAAACTCTAGGAGGGAGAGATAGACTCTGCACTGCGGTGGTACTGCAGTCCGCCTGTAATTAGTATGTGAAACGTAGACTCCGCGCACAATACCATTGATAGGAATATAGAGCTTAGATTGTATCTTATAAAGTGATATTGTGTCTTTATTTTGAGATAGATATAGCACGCTTTTTCCTATACTGCATGAGACAAGAAAGAGCCTATTTCTTCTGCTCCTCCACTGAGCCCAGAATAAACAAATCACAAGGACACATGGTATCTTTAGCAGTGATGAACTGCTGGCCAGGAGCAAGGATGTTCTGGGTTCGGAAGAAGTTGATATCAGGGAGGCCCATGGTGAATGTCTTGAACTGCACTGAACCGCCCAGCTTGTCGGGACCAATGTCGTTGAACGATGCATCGGGCTGGTTACTGTCGGTAAAGGAGATCTTGAACTCCAACTCGTCCTTATTCTTGACAGTGGCCACTGGGGATGAATTCTAATGGTGTTAGCCTTTCACATGTGAATGGAATACGAGTTATCCTACCATGGACATGCTCCCTTGAATTGAAGTCGTTCTCCAGTCTAACCACCCACTCCTGGGAGTAGCGTAGCGGTAGTGCAAGGTAACCTGTGCATTGTCCCATGTCCATTTGTAGTGTGATTGTAGAGTGGATTTATCGTCAAACAGTTCCAGAATGAGTGGATACTTGTCCCAGTCAACCGTTACGTATCCCTCGGTTACAACCACTATACTAGGCCCGGTAGTAAACCCCGACCAGACCCTTTCATTCTTGAATTTCAAACCAACAGTAGGACTAAGGGGCCCGTCACGTGCGAGGACACCGTCGGTTTCACGAAGGAAGTCTTTGCACTTGTCCTGGATTTGAGGAATCATGTATTTGTCGCGTATAAGTCTCCTGGATATGATGATACTAGCATCATATCCGTCGGGCATGGGAGCGATGAGACTGTCATGGGTGAGCTGGAACTGAGGCGCTTCTTTGGCGCCTTTTCCATCCCCTCCTTTGACGTGGATGAAAATACTCAAAATGCCCTTGTCTGCACTGAATTTGAATGCTTGAGGTGTGAGGACGTAGTCTGCTGGATTTGGTGTGTTCTTCACCTCTCCCAGCGTGAACTGAAACCCCTTCACCTTTTCCTGGTTATTCAACTCCAGTCCAATGTCTGCTGCCGAGTCTTGCAGGTCCTCGGCTGAATCGCTTGAGGTGTTCTTGACATTGACTTTCCACGTAGTGTCTTCGGCAGAAGCAAATTGAAGGATGACATGATAAGAAGACGTGGTGCCGTCTGTGAACTCGATCATGTGGTTACTTGTCTGTAGAATGTTAGTATATTCTACAGGCACATTATGACTCGGATGAAACTTTGCCTGTTTGTCGTCGTCACCACTGCTAATTGCGTGGATTGGCGTTGTAACAGTCGTAGAAAAACCATCTTCAGCAGTTAACGTTTTCTCCCCTACATCGACCCCGGTGTTGAGTTTCGTATGTGCGGTTCCAGTGAATGGCCATGTAATCCTTGCCATAGAGATACTTCCCCCATCGACGATCTTTTTGTCAAATTCAAACTGGGGCGGTCCCAGATTGAGCTTGTATGTTGTGGCGCGGTCATAGCTGCTGTGCCCCGTCGAGTGGACGACAGTAACACTGGTATCCCCAATTACTTCCGACCAGTACTTTGTCAAAAGAGGCTGAAGTTTATCTTGAGAATAGCTCACAACCACATCCCACTTATCAGTTGTCGACTTGTTTGTGTCGATAAGGGCTTTGTGGAAGTCAGATCTCGACAGAAAAATGAGTTTGGAGGTCATTGTCTGTGGTGTTTTGGAATAATGTTGTCAAAGAAACAAGATTAATGAGTTAAGAGGATAAACTGCACTTCTCGAGGTGTAAGGAATAGCATAGGATGGCATGGATTGGTTATCGGGCCGTGTTCAGCTGAATGCAGCACTATATGCATATCCCACCCCCGCAGGCGCCAGCTGAATAAGTTGACAACTCATCACATCACACATTACAGCCACAATGATGTATTTCTGTAATAAAAATTAAAAATTACACATTTATATTTTGCAAACATCGCCCATGTACATAAAAAGCACAGATGCAGCTGGTTTCTAGGACAATGATTCACAGACAACTTAAGCTTGCATCATGGATCCTGACAAAATCCAATACCCGTTGAACAATCCAAATCTGATCATCTGGGTCTCCCCCGATTCCTTTCGCCCGAAGGAGCTGAAAGTCTCTGTCTCTCTGTACGTGGAGAGTTTCGAATTTAGTGACGACCTGACATGGACGCATGATGATAATCCACCCAAAGATAAGACAAGCCCAAATAGATCTTTGGGCTACTTCAATCTATTCACATATCAGATATACGGCTTTCAAAAAGATAACAAGAGAGTCACACTGGGAATCCCAGGGAAACATGCGACCAGGGACCACCCAAACGGATGGCCCGGTGGCAACATGCAGTTGTACATAGAGGAGCTTCAAGGCTCTGATCTAGATCACCTGCAGATCAACTGTTCGTTCTTCTTCTCTTCGTCTACCTTATATGGTCTAAATTGACAATTGCTAGTGCGAGGCGGCGACGGTTGGAGCGGCATCGCGACGACACGAGGCCAGCCTCTGGAGAACGGCGGAGACGGTGGCGATGGAGGAAATGCCACTGTCCTTCTGGAACGTCCGTTCAAAATGGCCGTACTTCTATGTCGCCAGTTACTTGAGCAGCTCGCTGACGAGGAGAAGAAATGGCCAGCGGCATTTTCCGATATGATCGATGCCTGGGTGGACGAAATGACAGTGAATGACAGAATCAAAGAAATATTCCCATTGCCGGAGAATATGCAAGATGCAGAGCAAATCCTACAGTCGCAGAGAAACGATTTCGGGGAGTTGCTGTTTCATGCATATAGCCATCTGCTTCGACCTGGGGACAAGTTACGCAACGATATGATCAAGGCGATTGACGTCAAAGGAGGAGCCTGGGGAACTGGAGGAACGGGGCCAACAGGACAGGGAAAAAGTGGAACTGAAGGGGCAAATGGAACGAAGTCGGTGGTGATTGCCGATGAACCGGCAACAATCCATGCTACCTCGACCTGCTTTCTGCATCCCGTGCAGTGCCAAATGCTGTTGAGCAAGGCTAAGACGCTTCTCTTTTTGAATACTGACAATAGTCGAGCCAGGGCATTGACTTTCCTCGAGCGCTTGAAGGTCCGGCTGTCGTTTCTGGGAGACTCTACTGCGCGAAAGGATCTATCCAAGACACGCCTTGGTGAGGCCTATCGGGCTGCAGAGCCTAGTTTGCACATTGTCAGTGGCAACGACGGGGAAGAGCCTGTGTCGATCCAGGAGCTGCGCAATATCCGCAAGGAGGTTGAGAGCAGCCTAAGAGAATTGTATATTGCCGAGGCACAACCGAAAAAGACTCCTATTAAAGTCCCACGTGCGTCGTTTGCCTTCTATGCGACGTACGCCAAGTCCTTTTTGCAGGAGCTCAAGAGTATTGAGGACGTCTATATCAAATACTTGAAGGAAGACATCTCCACAGATAAAAAGAGACAAGCCATCCAAGAGCGTGAGAGTACTTGCGAGCGGTCAATTTCCCAAAGTCGGGATTTAATCGAGACAGTACGCCATGATATGGATTCAGTGACGCGCAAAATATCAGTAGCGGAAGAAACAATGAGCATATTCAAGGTGCGGCTCACGCAGACCCTGGATAATCTGAAAGATAAGGTGTCAAGGCTGCTGGGATTTAATTTTGAAGATTTGACCTCGGCACTGGGCCAGATTATTTTTACGGAAGGATCAGCATGGATGATTGCGAATGAGGGTCTTGATCTTGCCTACAAGTCGGCGACAAAAATTCAGAATGATTCAGGGGTTACTATTGACAGAAGATACCTCTTGAACAATATCAAGCGTATCAATGGATCCATTGCCAGTTTGAAAGAAGGGTATGAGGTGCAGAAGGATGGCAGTGTTGACTTTAATGATGCTGGCGGTTCGAAACTGGCAATCCTCGAGTCGAAAATGGAAGCATTCCTCAACGAGTTTAGTACAAAGCTGGGCGATCCCACTCTGAAAAAGGTCAAAGATGATTTTAAAAACTATATTAGTATGTGTCTATTCTTTACTCTGATGTTTAATCTAACGAGTCAAACAGACGCCGTCCAGAGGCGGAACTCGGCTGTACTCAGCTACTCACTGGATGTCCAGCTTCTAGTCCGCTATTTGGCCGAGATAGATACCCTCGAAGCGAAGAAGAAAGATCTGGTCCGCAAAGAATACAATGTGCTCGGCATGGAACATCCAACTCTGACGGCGTTCATGCGGACCATGTATACCAACGCCTTGACTGGTGTGCAGGTTTGGCTGCAAGGAATGCAAAACGCATACCATTTCTGTGCCTTGGATAATCGGAACATCATTGGAGAGGAGATGCAGAACTTCAATTTCTCCACGTTCAACCAAACCATGTTGTACCGGATCAATAATAGTCTAATTACTGCGTACGGGGAGCGAGCAGAAGCTTGGGGCCGCCCTCCACAACAGATGAAAGGGATCAAATACCCCCTTTCAAACGCTGCCATGTACCTGCGAGAGTCGATGCCCACCGACAAGAGGATTATCATTCCTATCACTATTACGCCCCAGACAGTGATGCCCGGTACCACAAGCCACCTGTTCGGGTCGGAAAGGGTCGACGTACGCGTCACTAGGGTATGTTTCTACGTCGACAATGTGACCACCAAAAGTGGCTTCTTGGATGTGTGGATCACCCATGAGGGCACGGATACCATTATGGATGAAATGAATGGGTCCCATTTCTACGATCATCAGCCAGTCAAAACCAACTTCCGCTACAAACTCGATGACAGGAATTACACCGGCGACGGGACAGTCAACGGCGAGATCGACTCGGCGGCGTTCACCCCGTCGGCGAAAGGCGGCGACAATGATCCCTATGCTTTGGTCGGGCCATTTACGACATGGAATATCATGATTGTGCGGGAGGACAACGACGGATTGAATCTAGATGATGCCAAAAACGCATGTCTAGAATTCGACATTTTGTTCCGGCCGAAGACCTGAGGGCATCATACATCATGTCAGTCTGCTGTGTTTAGATCGTAGTAGTTTCTGCATAGGATAAACACGGCTTGCTCTTCCCTGAGAGAGACCCATACTGCACGGTAGCATCAATTCCACTGCTTTTGTACTAAATTGTAATAAGAATTCAACCCTGATACACTGCATAGAAAATCGATACTTGTAGTATTTCCATAAGAAATCAGTCTGTCTCTTCCTCTGAATAATCATTAAACAGGTATCACGGAACTACTAGGAATATCATGACAGTAGAGCAACTATAGAGTTTTCTATAGCTTGAATTCCGAAGATGTGTGCAAATGAGCAAAGATGCGAATTCATTGCCAATGGATAGTAAATCCACTATAAACTGAAAAGTACTGGCACTGCTAAACTATCTGCGCCGCTCCTTTTCTTCCTTGACCCTATTTTCTTCTGTTTGTCTGGCCTTTTCGGTATCCTGTTCAATGGACTTCCTGAGCTGTTCAGCTTCATTTTTGGCCACACGTTCCTTAATATCGTTAGTATCCTTGTCGATTGAGCTCCGCTCTTTTTCAATTTCTTCCTTGTCTTTTTCAAATTTGTTCTTGATCTTTGCCTTTTCCTTCGCCCTCGCTTCATCTGATAGACCATCTCGTTTGTCAATTTCAGCAGCGTTCCTCTTGTATTCATCCTCACGGCTCTCTAGATTCTGAGCCAGCTTTTCGAGCTTCTGCGGCGCCACTTCCTCTGCCCATCGCTGCTTCAAGAGAGAATCAAATAACGCATTCAACGACGCCTCGGGCATGTGCTTGTCGAATCGAGATTCCAGTGCTTCCTTATATCCCTCGAGGAACTCGTTCTTCCAGAACCGGTGCATAAGCCAGTACTTATTGTAAATGAAGTCATTCATCAAACCTTTTGCCCAGGGAATATAGTGGTCATTTCGGAACTGGACCCGGAGCTGCTTAATGTACTCCGTATTTCTCAGCTGTGTATCCGGGACGCCATTGACCAACTGCTTTGCTGCAGTGTCCAAGTGGGTTTGCAGGCCTTCCAGCTTATAACACAATACTTTGTTCGTCATCCGTCTTTTATCGTCCTCGACCCATCTGCTCCTGACGCTCTGACTGAGCGCTCCGCCTAGTGCCCCGATCGCACCACCGAATAGATTATCCCAACCTTTGCCGAGATAATCGATCGAGCGAAGAGCAAAACCCAGCGCTGTGAGGCCGACACTTGCACCCCCTAACATTTCATCTCCTTTTGGCTTTCGCCATTGCCATTTTATGATTTCCACGAACTGTGGCTGCGAGTCTGGTTGACAGCGTGTATCTATCAAATCAATCACCACCGCGAGTGACTTGTTCGCCAGGTCCTCCCGGAAGTCGTCAACCATCTCCATCACATCTTCTGGTGCCGTCTGACTATATGGCATGTCTGGGTTCCGGGGCGGATTGGAATCAAACGCATTGCCGAAAGGAAAGAACCGGTGGCCCTCGATCGCCTGGGCGGTGGCAGCAGCTCCTTTTGATATCTTGCCTGAAAAGCCCAGTCGATCGGGCTGTTTTTCGCCCACGATCCAGGGATACTGAAACTGTAACTGGAAGGTATAGTCGGAGTGGGTAAAGGATACATTTCCATCCTTATCGACGTTCGTGTTCTCGACCGGTTTGGAATCAACTTGTAACCAATTAGTTCTGGTCAACATATGAACTAACTCGTTTGAACATACTGTAGATAAGCTTCTCTTTAGAATCAACCATCAACTCCCAAAACCCAGCGTCATTGGTACGGAATCGATAGGCACCACCAGCTAGTCGAAGGACTAGTAAATCCCGGGTTGGTGCACGAAGCTGGTCGACGAGATCGATGTCGCCAGATTGGAAGGCGAATCCCTTTTCGTTGAGAAGTTTGAGTCCGTCATTCTCATCAGGGTCACTGCAACAGCGCAGGAAGTCATTCAAAAAATCATCATCGGTGTATAGTGTGGTGAGGAATTTTTGAATGTACTCTGTGTAAGGTCAGTATGCGATATAGCCATGCTGGTTGGATGTAGCGTACCAAGTCGTTGGGCAGCCATTTTGATCATTGGCAGTAAGATGTAAGCTGGACTGGTACGATCTAATTGTGGACAGTTGAGCCATAATAAACTGTATACAAGTTTGCAAATTTTGCGAGAAACATGCAATTACACAGTTTGTATTTCCATTACGAACCCTGTTTTGCAGACAGAGCTGAAGACTTGCATTGACATAACACATCATCTCAGATATGGGTTCGAGCTGAATTCGTCCCTGCAAATTCAAGGACTTGACTGTCCACTATAGCATCTAACAACCTATCATTGTCTTGAACAATGCAGTCAATGACGGCTACTTCTCCTCGCTACTACATTATAACGTCACTTCTAAATTCCAGCTGTGCAACACCGCATTCGGCCATGTGGATCTGCGGTTACTACACAAATCATATCAAATTATACCTATCTTAATCCCTTATCAATGACATGACAAACTTCTGATGATGTAGTACACTCTAATTGACCAGAGTAAATGATTTTCGTTCAGCTACGCCACAGCCAACTTTTCTTGTTATTCGTCTCATTGAGTTGCAAACAGACTACTAGGAACACGTCATATCAAAGACACTGACGGGTCGGTACGTTGTCAATGGTCAAAAATTGAGTATCAATAGCTGATAGCCTAATCTCACCTACTCCCATCTCATATGAGCCGATCAGGCCGCACAGTGTCCACCCGAGGCTGGGCTGACAGAATAGGCTGAAGTATGTTCTTAGGATTTTTTTTTCCCGGTGCGCGAATACCACTGTTGAGCCATTATTGCAGCATATTATGAAGTAGAATGTGCATCTGGAATATAAAAATACACCAACGTCATGGAGCAAATAAAAATCCTTAGTTATGTCTCGGCCCATCCAGCTGCCCCAGCCCGCGATACTTGGTGGCCTTGCCCATTACCATGCCATTGCCCAATTGATCGGTTTCCAGCCTGTATATCTCCTGCCACGGTGTCGAGCTAGGAACCATTGGGTATCCTGCTTGTGTATCCAGCTCCTGTCTCTGCTGTTGCAATTCTTCGTCACTAATGAGGACATCCACCTTCCTCTTCCGTAGATCAATGTGCAATTTGTCTCCATCACGCAGGATAGCGAGATTTCCAGCCGCCGCTGCTTCTGGACTTGCGTTGAGAATGGACGGGCATGCAGATGCCTGATTGACGACCATCGCCCGATACAGAATAATGTGTCCACGCCTCGCTTCAAGAGATAGCTGGGCGGGTGCATGTTGACGACTTCGGTGGAGCTACACCGCGCGTAACTAGGATGGTTTGGTCAGTGATGTTGTCAGATAGTTCGAGGCGGTGGTGGTAGTCTTCTGGTCCGTCGAAGACGGAGATTAATATTTATCTAATATAGTGTAAAAACCTGCCCTATTTCTTTATCCGTTTGTAGTATCAGAGCCCAGGAGCTATATTAACTAAACAGCTTAACTAGCTGCTTAATCTCCTCTTAAGACTATAGGTATTTATAGCAGCAAGGTGTTAGCCAATCCGGGCTGATAGCATTTGTATGGTAAATGCATATACGCGGAATATCAGGGGAAGAAGGTCTGATTCTTCTGTGACGATTTTAGCATAGGACGTTCCCCTCTCTCTCCCTGCCGTTCCCTGTGGGTTAGATCTTGAGTTATAGTCACAATGTGCTCTTTGATACACCGACATGCATGCACATGTCCAGAGTCAGATGGAATATTCATTTACAACGAGCACTTGTCCACTGTTAGAAGCCTCTCGTGAAAGTATTTTTTAAGTTGGTCCAAAAGTTTTTGTATGCTGTGCCGTGCCTTTGCACCTGGTAGCTGTTGTAGATTTGCTTCCGCAAGACTTTACGGGTCACGTGCATACAGTACATACCATTTGATAATTTACCGCTAACCATCTTCGGGTGATTCGGTCTGGTTAACCCGTTTCATTACTCCATATGCTTTTATATTCACCTGATCCAAGAAGAGTGATCTACCCTCAAATCAGGTGAATCCTTTCCGGTGACATCTCATCCTCGGTCCAGAGGACTTCCTTGGCTTCCTCGTCATTGAGAGCTGTCCCAGACAGTTGACGTTCAATGTCGATGACCGCCTGCTTCCTATCGAATTCCTCCCGAGTCTTTTTCCTGAGCGCCCATACAGTCTGTTGTATGTGCTCAGGACTTTCCGTCACAAATTCGCCTGGCTCGCTTCTTCCGAGAGGAGAAATGGAAAGGTCGACTGGATAGGCTGAGAGAGCATATATAAGAAGACCAAAGAGCTGCCAAATTTCCAGTAATTACTTACATCTCATGCCCTTCCCCTTCCCTCACTCCAATTGCCTTCCCAGCACTCTATGCCCCCGAATATTACAACTTCCCACAATACAATATGCCCCCTATATTTCAGGTGAACAACTTCAAGCCATGGGCTCCTCCCCATAGGAAACCATTCCCCCCTCCTAAACCACCTAATTCACGCTCCCAAAGAACCAGCAACTCCCCTTGTTCTGAGCCTTGTCCTGAGTCCCTTCCAAGCACTTTGCCCATTCCACAGCATCACCTTCCTGTGCGGCCACCAGCTGAGGTCTGCATGCATTTAAGTACGAAAACTCAGCCGTATGCACCCCTTAGCCCACGAAATCACACAGGGGAGATACTTATACCACCACTAAATACACTAAGATTGGAGAGCGCGAAGCACGGTACAACATCTCCCTGTAAACCAGCACCTCACACCTCAACCCTAGGTAGGGCACACCATGATTCCTAAGAAGTTACTGGGAACCCCATTGAGCTATCCTGCTTTCTAGGGGATATTACAGAGCCTGGTCTGCCGTCGCCTACCATATCTAGCTTAGAAGATAGCTTTGAAGAAATCTTCCGGCTCTCAGATATACAGGACACTATTCCCATTGACCCCACGATGCTTGCCAACAATGGGTTCTGGGTGGCAAGTGATCAACAACAGCCAGTTCCACCATGCGATAGCGCTATTGATTCAGAGACAATCTGTCCTTATCCTAAACCTCCACCTGTTCTTCATAACACACCTGGGAGTCATTAAGACTACAGTGAAGGTGCAGTCAGCAGCAATGGTGGTATTCAGACAAATCATCATTCAGATAGCCACAGTCATCAAGATTTGCGCCCATTTAATCACAACGCTTAACCTGACCTGTCCCACTCAAGCAAAGTTAGTGAGCAGTCTAAAATATTCAAGTATAAGAGGCAATCAGACAGACAAGCTCCGAAACGGCCCTGAGTTTCCAATAGATTGTGGATAAAAGAGAATTCATTTACTGGCCTCTGTTCTCATTTCTTATCTCTACTGCTTGATGGATGTTTGTAGTTTCTATCCTGGCTGTTTAAAGTTGTCCTACCACAATGCACGCCTGACCCTGTACCCACATGTGAGAAAGGAGATACACAGTCACACAGCCGCTCAACCATCCATGCGGAGGACGGACAATCGCGGCAGGATATCAGTGAGGCCCATGGGACCTCCAGAAAGGGCGAACCATGGACTGTAAAAGAGGCGGAACTGCTGCTGAAGCTGAGAAGGGACAAGAAATAACCTTAGTCATTGGTAATGAGGTTATTCTCAGACTAATATCCAGGCAGGAGTCAAGGTTCGATCTAAGTGTACTGGAGTACAACCCTCAAGAAGAGGATTAGATAACCTATTATAGAACCACGCTGAAAGAAGCTTGTAATCAATCGCTCCTACAATATCACTCAGTGACCAAGAGAATAAATGACTACTCCTTCCCCACGGCCACAACCCGATAAGTCAAAAAAGCAGGTCACTTACCTAAGCTCTTCCGGCTGGGCCAGCCGCCGCTCTGTTTGATAGCTCCTACAGTAACCATAACATTACGGGATGCGCCATCCTCAAATACGCAGTGGTTGGTAATCAGTGTCTCAAAGCTCTCATGTCCCTGGTTGAACACAAAGAATGGGTGTATATTGGCTCTCTGGCCTTCCACACTTTCTATGCCAACAGACTTCAGGAGTCTTTCATGGAGCAATGGAGCAATGGAGCAACAGGTCGACATCTCAACAGACGCCTGGTCACTGCGCATTCTGAGTCTGGGACTGAATACATCCGAGTCCATGTTATCCTTAAGATCGCTACAGGCAGGACGCTAGAGAACAAAGGGTGTGGACGAAGACGAGGTGGAGAAGAACCGTCTATAGCCGGCGCTCATACGCGTACGTGTCTTATGGTTGATGAGAAGCGCATGCACTCTGGGACAGACATAAAACCTGATCATCCACCCTTGATGAAGGCAGTGGATGTCACAGTTGGACAAAAGAGGTTACCGCAGTCAGGCGCGTTTTTAAGGGCAGCCACCCTTCGCTAATTCTCGTATACCCCTCGCTAGTGGACTATCGTGGGCCACAGATGTAACACCAGAGGGGAGTAGGATAGAGTGAGTATGACTGATGTGAATTGACGGACGATAGAGTTACTGATTATCCTTGTTTTGTTGCGGGCTACAATGGACATCCGCGGAATGATGTAGTAGGAATGACTGTTCACTCGTCGAACCACACAATTATGGCCTGGAAGTCCCTTAGTCATAAGATTTAATTGATCTAACAGCCATCATCATCTACGCAGACACCATTGGAGGGAGCGGAGTCTAGGTAGATAGGAAATGTATAGGAGATTTGAAGTCTTTGTCTTAGGAGGAAAAATTTGTTTTCTTAGAGCTAGATGGCCTTTGCAGTGTTATTAGAGTGGATCTAAGGGGATTACAATGACTAAGGGTTGCTTAATATGAGGACAGCCATAAGCTACTGTAATTCACGTGCATTATTGTGCATTATAATGTGGTATCTACTTCACTGTATGCTTAATGAAGAAACCTGGGTCTTAAATCATATGAACCTATATGAGATGCAAGACTAACCTTGTCTTCCAAGATAGTAGAAAGGGATTTGTCATATGTATCCTTCATAGACCTTCTGAGAAGGTTGTGAGTATGGATGTTAGACGCAAAGATGAGTAGATGATCCTATGACTGAGTGTATGAGATCATCTATACAGAGTAACGTAACATAACAGGGTAAAGACAGTCCATGAATTTATTCTGCTAAGAGCCTGACTAGTAAATTAGTAGTTCGCTGGTACGTAAATCAAGAGTGTTTCTCTGTGGGGTAAAGCATTGTTGGTTGACGTTGACAAATTCAGTAACTTTATAAAGGATCCAGGATGTTATTACATACTATAGCACTGCAAAATCGGCCCAATAGGCCACGTCAATGACGACCCGAACATCATCTTTAGATGCGCAGTCACTAGGATTATTCAGATTCGGCAAATTCGGAGAAATGTAACCCTAGGAATCTAACCACCAAAACCTGTGACTAGCCTGTTTGAATCCCTTACCCTGTATGGTAGTGATATCAACGACAATCACCGTGCTTAGTGTACAGGTTTTCCAATTACACTTCCTTCTAATCTCAGAGGTCTTAAGTCTTTCTAACCATAGTAATAACTTGAACTGTATGTGTGAAGAGTGATGTATTCCTGACCATATGCACTGGCTAACCAGGCATAAAAGGGGGGAAGGGCTCTGGCCTGCGAAGTTCACCCTGTGTCTAGCTATTGATCTGTAACAGATACAATACTTCGGAATTATACCTTATCCTCATTTAATTTTATAATGTATTATACTCAAGTGTTAGTTCCCATACTCGTAGCTCTTCCCGCTGCCTTTACCAGAGAGACTGACCTGGTACGCAAATAAAGGAATTCTGCATAATAGTGGTTTCTTTAAATTACTAAGTATGGCAGGCATACTTCTAGGCTGGTAACTACATGCAACCTATTCGTTCTTCTTATGCTACAGCATGTGTACCGTTTAATTAGTAAGTTCAAGGCCCTGTGAGCTAGATCAAGTAGCTCTTATACAAGACTAACATAATATATGGTCCCTTAGCCCTGATCCAGCAGAATATATTAAAGTGAATCCCCGCAGATTAGTCGGAGTTGACATAGTCTGCGATCTCTATGAGTATGTCATGAACTTTTTAAACTGAATGACATATGCTAATGGACTATACTACAGCCAACCTTTCTGCCATGGATCACCGGCTATTCCCGACGTCCGTGGTGGAAAGTCACTTTCCGGTGATGATATTGTTGCCGCAAGATGCTACATACGACCAGTTGACATGGATTAGATTTTACTC